GAAGCTAGCTTCCCATGATCGGATTTCAAAATGACATGCTTGCTTTGTAAATCAATAAAATCTTTATGCAATTTGTTAAAGGCATGTAATAATTTTTCACTAGCACAAGCAAGTTCATCACTAGATAAATCATTAATCGATTCGAACTCGCAAACCTCACTAGGGCTATCTTCTAGTAGCTATGTGCATGATGCTCCATATGAACTTGAAGCGGGATCCTCCAAAGCTTGTCGGATCGCCTCCAAGTCCCCTTGATGTGCTTCAATAAGTTTCCATAAGTTGTAAGCACTATCAAAATGAACAAACTTGTTAGACATAGATGAATTAAAAGCATTTAGCAAATATTCTAACAAAATCTTGTTCATTGTAAACATCATTTTATCATGTTTGCTCCACTTAGATTTCTCCAACATGGGCACAATATAAGCATAATCAATGACTTCCCATAAATCGATATTTTTAGATTGAACAAATATTTTAAATCTAAAATACCATTGAGTATAGGGGAAAACATTGAATTTAGGAGCAATACTAGAATCATAGCCTAAACAAGATGCATCATTCATATCCATAATTTGTAAAAATATCCAAGCAAGATACAAATGCAATCAAAACAAGATTAGCATAAAAAGATAATTTGGATCTTTAACTTAAGGCGATTAGACCTTAAATCAAAGAGCAGCAAGCTCTAATACCAATTGTTAGACCATAGAGGATGGGTGATTAGGGTCTTATGCTAATCTAATCCTATTTTATGCTAATTAAAACTAATTAACAAGTTATTCTTGCAAGATAGATATACAATATGTTATAAGCAAGAATGAGCAATATAACCAAAGAGCAATATCCTAGCAATGAGATATATGGTGAATTATATACAAGGATATATAAACTAATATAAGGGGAAATAAACAATCTATAAATGTGATAGGTCAATATGAAGAGCAATACACAAAGGCGATATAAGATATGAATACAAGGATAGGTACGCCAATGCAATCACAAACAAAATGATATGATCACGGATTTCGGTCTAACCACTTGACCTACGTCTCCACTCCTCACCTCGAGGAGATTTCCACTATCACAATCAGGTTTTCTATGCTTACCCGGATAACGTTTACACCTCACACTCGGTTTTCTAGCTAACCGAAAACTTTACAACTACACACTTGTAATCACACTCTACACCCTCTAAGTGTTGGCCTAGTCCGTATCCTCCTCCTCAAGTGCTCGGATGCAACCTCTCCCTAGGTTCGTCAACCGATGCCACTTTTATTGGATTCGACCCCGTCTCTCACCACACACTACTCTCGGTGTACAAGTGTATTATAAGTGATACTCACAATATAAGTTCAAATACAATGTTTTGTTCTCTATAATGAATAAGAACACAATGTAGCTCACTCTCAATGATACACTCCCCACAACCCAAATATATAATATGTGTAAAATACTAAAGCTCAATGGTTGTGTGTGCAAACAATAAGAAACAACAAAATCAAATGTAAACTCAATATAAATCTAGCTTAATGAAGATAATAATCAATGACAAATATAAATGCAAAGCTAGAATTGAGTTTAGAAAAACTTCTCTAGAACAAGAGAGATGGAGATGTGAAATTAAAAGCTCAAACCCAAGTTGATCTCCTCTTCTTGTGAAACAATCTTCACAAACCCAATTTTGTAAACAAACTCTTAAACAAACTTAAACCCTTGTAAAAACTTGTTTAAAACATCTCTTGGTTATAGAAAATAGTTATGACAAAGGGGTATATATAGGGAAGAAGAAAACAACCCAAAAAACCCCAAAACCCCACTAAAAAACAAAAATCAGAAAGTTACCGTTACTGTGCAACGGTAACATTGGCGGTCGACCGTGACGGTCGACCGTGAGAAGAAAAAGCACAAAACTGGTCTCTGGATTGCTGACGGTCGACCGTGATGGTCGACCGCACTGTAGCACGGTCGACCGTGGCGGTCGACCGCACTTTTCCAGATTTTGACAGATGTTGGAATTTTACGTATCTTACTTTGTAAAATCAATTAAAAATAGTAAATCAACTCCAAAAATCATGACATTTTGAGGGAAGGTTCTAGACATATAGATAAACATGTTAGAGGAAAGAATTTCTAAAATATCACTTCCCAGTTGAGATAAATAAATGTTTGAACACAGATATACAGTTTTTGAAAAAACTACTGAAAAACTCGGTTTTGTAAATTCAATTAAAAATAACAAAACAACTCCAAAATTAGTAAAATTTGGGAAAATGTTTATATATATGAGTATAAACATGTAAACGAAGAAATTTTTCAAATCGCATTTCCCAATTGTGAAAACACATCGGTTTTGCAAAAACATGCACGAACATGTGCACGAACATGAGCTTATTAAAAACTTGATTTTGGAAATTCAAATAAACATAACAAATTAATTCAAAAATTGATAAAACTTTGAGAAACATTTATAAACATGAAATTTAACATGTTAGAAAAAGAATTTCTCAAATTGAGTTTCCTATTTGTGAAAACTCATGTATTTTGCAAGTGTGTCCAAAACATAAAAATGTGATATACATGAAATTTGATGTTTTGACGTAAACAATGTTTTGAAACCCTATGAAATAATTTTATAGACTTAATAAAATATGTATACAATGATTGTTAAGTCCATAAACCAAAACTTGTGTATATATATAACTATATATATAAAAACTAAATATGTGTGTGTGTATATGATTGAGCTTAAAGTACTAACACATATAATATAAAACCTAAACTAAATATACCCAAGCTTGATTGATCTTCGATGTAGCTCAACTTGGTACACTTGTGGATGAAGCTAGAACTTGGATCTTTAATTTGAATTGCATAGGCTTCACTCCACAATTCCGCCAACCTCCATTGGATTTGATCGTTGAAGCGCAATCCATCCAACCTCCAACTTGTTATTTGTCTACAATAAATAAATAAACACAAATACTAGACAAACAATATTAGTGGTAAATTGTTTGTTAAACCTCATCAAAACAAAGGGACCAACACACCAAACATACATTATCCTATGAGAGCTTTCTCTAAACAAGATTAACTAAAAGCTGATTAGTCAGATGCACACACTATCTTTGCTTCACACCTTAGGAGCTACTTCGGTGTAGCAGAAGTAGCATTTTTGCAGAAGTAGCATTTTTGGGACATAAAGCTTCATCAATAGGAATAGCTATTGACAGTAAGAAAATTGAGGATATAGTTAGGTGACCTACACTGAATGATGTAGTAAATGTTCGTAGATTTTTGGGTTGGCGGGGTACCATCAACACAGAGATAACAATAAGACTGCACCTAGCATTTAGTTTTGCATTGAAGTTTAAGTCATCAAATATAGCATATGAATATGCTAAGGTTAATGATAAAAATTTTAGAATTTTTACTTTCTCAGGAAACTAACTATTCGTCTATTTTTTCCCCTTCTTAGATGTTTGAAACACTAAAATTCCATGGACAGTAAAATTTTGGGGGGTTTTCTACATTACTCCCCACTTCAAATTTTGAATTAGTCCTCCAAATCTTGATAATTTGAAATTAGACCTCAAATCTTGAAGCGTTTTGAAATTAGTCTCTAAATCTTCATATTTCAAAATGAGTATCCAAATCTTCATTTGAAATGAATATCCTAAATCTCGAATGAAAGATTGGAGGAAATATTTTTAGAGCACTAAAAAATATGAGGATTTGAGGGACTAACTTCAAAAATACTAAAAGATTTAGAAAAATAATTTCAAAATATCAAGATTTAGGGGGACTAATTTCAAAATATGAAAGATATAGGAGCATAATATCTAAAAAAAACCCTAATCTTTTAGATTAGGAAACAATGGGCACGATGGACAACTCATTATACTAAGGGGCTGTTTGTTTGCCTAAAAAAATTGGGAAATCAAAGAATAGGAAATCAAAGAATAGGAAATCTTGTATTATGGTTGTTTGGTTGGCTAAAAAAAGAAAGAACTCAAAGAATAGGAGATGAGATGAGATGAGTTGTCACCATATTATTAGATGATGTGAGTGATTTTTTAATAAAACTTGTTTGGAGATTGTTTGGTTGGTTAAAAAAATAAGGAAATGTATTATAAGAAACCTATTTCCTATAATAGTTTCTGAGATTGTTTGGTTGGTTAAAAAAATAAGGAAATGTATTATAAGAAACCTATTTCCTATAATAGTTTCTTTCTTGTGTTTGGTTCATAACCTATTTCCTATAATAGTTTCTTTCTTGTGTTTGGTTCATTCTTAAAAATAAGAAAATAGATGAGATGGGATGAGTTGTTTGTATATTATTGGATGATGTGACCCACACTTACGAAAATCAATTTCCTTTTTTTTGTTGAGGAAATGGGTGGAAATGAAATGTTAATGAGATGAGATGAATTATCACCATCTTATTGAATGATGTGGGTGATTTTTAAATATGAGATAAGATGAGTTTGATGATGCGACCCATTTCTTGTGTTTGGTTTATTCTTAGGAGATGATATGATATGAGTTTTTGGATGAAAATAATATTTTATTAGATAAAGTGGATGAGTTGTTAGATAAAAAATAATATTTTATTGAATGTTGTGGTGAGTTTTAGGGATGTAAATGGAGAAATTTGATGTCTTTGAGATTTTCATAACCTAATTTTCTATTCTTAATTTTTAGGAAACCAGCCAAAAAACCCTTAAATGAGCTACCAAAATATAGTCATGAGGTCCGCCCCACTCACTAGGCATATTGAAAAGTACAAATTCCGTCGCTTTATTTTTTAATAGCTTATTTAGTGAAAATGAGCACCCATCGTTCCCTTCACATTAATGCGTCTTTTATAATTCCTTTAAAAAATATTTTTTATGAACTTCTACGTGAGAGAGTTGTAAGGCACCCTTTAACTAAAAGGTTCCGCAGGAAGACGGCGGCGCCGACGCTAACTATTTCTCCTCATAGCCCGAGCTAAAGCACGTGTCACGAAATAAAAAGAGGCGCGCATCGCGTCACGACAAAAATATCATCATCATCATCATAATCGCCCCACTCTCCTCCTCCCCTTCTTCATCCATCCATGCTCCTCCTCTTCGTCTCAAGCCCCCAACCCTGCAAACCCTAACCCTAGGTTCCAACTCCGATGACCTGAGATCAAACCCCTAGAAGGCGGCGACGATGACCTCTTCCTTCTTCGAGATCCGCCTCTTCTACGTCCGCATCTCCCCCTGCTCCATCGACACCGTCCCCTCCTTCCTAACCCTCTCTCATCTCCGCCGTCCCGTCGGCGTCTCCCTCGAGATAAACGGCTCCAGGATCCCGTCCTCCCATTCCACCTCCCTCCTTCTCCGCCCAGAGATCGGATCGATCGCGAGTCGTCAGAGGTGACCTACGTCAGCACCGACAGGAACCAAGCTCTCCGGCGCCGTCGATTTCGAGGTAGGAGACGATAAAGGAACTTAATCCCTTGCGGATCGTTGGGGAAGGTGGAGCGGCGTGGAGCAATGGGACTATTGGATCGGCTGGGGACAAGACCCGAGAACGGCGATGGAGTATGGATTGTCATATGGCGGCTTCAATTAGCGGGTCGGTTTCGTCGCAGCCAAATTTTGGGGATTGTGAATCCGTTAGTGGAGGTTTATGTGGCCGGGTGTTTTGGTGGGGTTCCCTTGATATTGACTCAGACGGTGATGGTTAGTCCGAGGAGGAAGGCGAGGCCTGGGCTTTTGGATTCGATACCGGAGGAGCGTGGCGACAGGGAGAACGGGAGAAGTGATGGATTGGTTTGTCAGCGGACGATGGCATCATTGGTAAGAAAATTGTTCTTTCTTCTTTTTATCAATATATATGTGATAGTTTAGAGGTAGTAATAGTATTAAGCGCATAATCAGTCAAATGCAGTAATCTGATTCTTTGTATTAAGAACTTCATGCTGCAACTTGAATTGAGACTAGTGAATGCGTGTTGGTAAATTTACTTGGAATATTACTTCGGAACTGAAAACAAGCTTTGAAGATGGAACTTCTCTCGGTGTGATCGTGGCGTGTAGAAGCACTATCCTTAAGAGTAGATTTCGCCCTTATGAGAGTATCTCTTGGTGCAGTACGTTATTGGCAGCCTACCCTCGAGGATTCAATGACCATTGGCTGAGCAAGCGTGCACTCGCAATGCTATAGGCCCTTGAACAGCTCTGATTTTTTTCTTCCATAACAACTGAGAGGATAAGAGAGTTTAAGAGAGGAAAATAGAGAGTTTGAGAAGAGAAGCTTGTTGTTTTTCTCTGTTGTGTTTTGGAGGAGGAAGTTGCTGATTTTTTGGAGCAAAAGTGATATGTAGGAATCTTTCTAGAGCTGTAAAGTTTCTTGAAAATGCAAGAAATGTCTAATTTACTTGGCCAGAGAAAGATTCAGTACATAGGGCAGGGCAAAAGCCATAATTACAGTTTCTTAAGCATTGGGAAAGTAATCTCAAGAAATGTGAATTTTAATCTAGAAAGAGAGATTTGGTCAAAGGTCTAAAAAATAAATGTGCAAAACTGAGCTCGGGTCACACCTGCAAGGTTTTGAAACCCGGATTTGCACCCTCCTCGGTTAAGATGCAGACGCACATGCATATTGAGGTTATCTAGATTCAGTTGTCCAATTTCCTTCATTGGGCTCTATTGGGTTTGTGTGCGCGTGAGAGCCCCTCTACTCCTAGGCCCATTTAACACACTAAGAAGGAAAACACATTTAAACATCCCCCCACTAGTTCAAAATTGATAAAAAGGTTAATCAAATCAAGAAAAAGAGGAAGAATCAAATAAGAAAGAAACACGGGTATCCAATGCATCAATAGTGGTGGCTTTTGGTCTATGAACCACTACCTAAGACATTTAAGTGTGTCCCATAGGAAGTTGGTGAAACATATAGTTTGTATGAACTAGTCTTCCTTATTATGAATCAATGACCTACAACTCACATATTATTCTCATAACGGAGCTGTTCTAAACTGGTTGGCGTGCATCGGCCATGCGCCTTACCTGGATGTTCATGAGTACTCTAGAGAACATGCCCAATTCTCAAAGGAAGTGGCCCCACTTCCACACTCATATAGGTGGATCCATCAAGTGTGCATTGCAATTAAAAACACCACTCGGAAATGGCTATGACAATCCATTAAGAGCTAATGCTTAACCTTTACACATTGCAATTTGCACATCTACACCATAGGAATGGACTCAATAATAAAATTAATGATAGTGCCTCGCAAGTTCACAAATGATTTGTTTTTTACCCATATGAACCTACTTCATGAGATCGCCAAACACATAGGTTAGGTTACCATCATTCTCGACTCTTTGTTATAGACTTTAGTCCCATTCCCCTCCGTGTACTTTCTTCTAGTTTTCTTCCTAGTGGTTTTGTCAAAGGATCACTTATATTAAGTCTGATTTCACATAATCAAGTGATATGACCCCATCATCTAGTAACTTTACAATTTTATGTCTTAGGCATATATGCCTACTTTTTCCATTATATATTTTATTTTTGGCTCTGGCAATAGTAGCTTGGTTATCACAATGAATCGAAACAAACATGCTCTCACCCATAATGGAATATTAACCAAAAGGTTCTTGAGCCACTCGGCTTTAGTACATGCCTTCTCTAAGGAAACAAACTCTAACTCCGTAGTAGAGCAAGCTGTGACGGTTTGCATGGATGATTTGCGAGACACCGCACATCCTTCAAGGGTGAACACATGTCCATTTATGGATTTCAACTCGTCTGAATCAAAAATCCAATTAGCATCTGGGTATCATTCTAGTAGTAGTATAAAAGGAAAACCATAAAATGTCAGGCCATAATTAATTGTTCCTCTCAAGTACTTAAGCACTCAATATAATGTAATCCAATGACCGTTATTAGCGACAAAGTCGTCCTACAGCATTAGCAATATCAGGCCGTGTATAGTTCATCAAGTGCATTAAACTACCAATAATTTGTGCACTCAGATTGTGACATACTTTGTTCTTTATTCTTTCTTAGGTGAATGCTACCATCATAAAGTGTGGAAATAGAAGCAAATAACACTCTAATAGATGCATCCATTTGATATATGACAAGCTCATGAATAGAAGCTAAAGCAAATAATACGCTAGTCATAGGAGCAAATGTATCAAAATAATCAACAATTTTCTTTTGAGTGTATCCCTCAGCAACCAGTCTAGCTTTAAATTTGTCTATGGACTCATCATGTTTTAATTTTCTTTTAAAGATCCATTTACAACCAATTGGTTTTGCATCGAGTGGCAAATCAACAAGCTGCCAAGTGTGTTTAGATAATATAGATTCTAGTTCATTATTAATAGCTTCTTTCTAGTATGAAGCATCTAGAGAGGAGATAGCATCATTGTAGGTGAGAAGATCATTATCAATTAGAAAGGTATAGCAGTCATCATCAAAGTTAGTTTCTTTTGTAGCTCTTTGACTTCTTCTTAGTTCAATTTCTACATTATTATTAGATTCATGTGCATGACCAGAAGATGAAGGATGAGAAGATTTATCTACATGAGACTTCAAAGGAAAAACATGCTCAAAGAAGTCTGCATTTTTAGTTTCAACTATAGTGTTAGGCTCCATAACATTATTATCACTTCTAATTACAAGAGATCTATAAGAAGCACTATGAAGAGCATAACCAATAAATATGCAATCAAAGATTTTAGGTCCCAATTTCTTTCTTTTAAGTTCAGGTAACAAAACCTTAGCTAAACACCCCCACACTTTTAAATAATTCAAGGTGCATGCCCTTTCCAAAGTTCATAGGTGTAATTTTAGTTTTCTTATATGTTATTCTATTTTGAATATGACAAACAGAAAGGATAGTGATGCGAAACAAAACAGGGGGTCTATCAGAATCAGCGATCTAATTTGAACAAAGCACCGTTTCGCCAAAAATCATTTTATTCGGTAGGAAATTAATTAAAACAGTTAATGCGACAGATGGATTTTAACAAGATTTGTAATGATGGTCATAAACAATCCCAATCTCGAATAATTTAATTGTAATATTCATTATCATTGCACAAGTTTTACAATCAATATCAAGTTTTAACAATCACATGTTCAGTTTCTCTCAACTCACAATTATACTTTAAGCAGTGAATATATGATAAGAGTTTAGAGATGTATTATTCATGCAATTAACTAACAAAATGAAATCAACAAAAAAATAAGGGACGAAAGAAAACGAAACCTTCTCTGAACAGACTCGATGTGAGAGACCTCTGGAGGTGGGGCGACGACAACAGTGAACTGAACGACGACGACGAGGCGGAGATCTGACGACGAGTGCGACGGTGTTGAACTGATAACGACGTGGTGACGAATCTGAACGACGAAGGTGGCGGTGATTCTGAGCAGCGACTAGAGTGACGGCGTCGGTAAGGTTGACGGGACGATAACGATGTGATGTTTTGTGGTAAGCGGCTGTGGCAGTGGTAGTATTGCTCTGGTGTGGAATTTTGCCAAACAGTTGGTGTACATGAAGGCGGCAGTTGCTGGGAAAGGAGGCTCGGTGACAGTGGGAGTAGGGCGGCTGCTTAGGAGGAGATGATGGCGCTGGTGGTGCGGAGGTGGAGATCAGGGGCAAGCTGAGTGTGGATCTGGTGGTTGCAGGGAAGAGGAGGGTTTGACTGATTGTTGACGTGGGGAAGACGAGGGAATGCTTGGCGACTGGAGGAAGAGGACACAGGAAACGGCCTAGGGTTTCACACCCGAGGCCTAGGTTTCACACCTTAGGCTTTACACCAGATTTTAGCTAATGCAATTTTTCATTCAATAATTCATTGATTTTTAATAGTCTCATACAACCTTATTTATAAAAAAAAACTACGTGCACACAACGTGCAATAAAAATAGAAACAAATAACAATCCCTCAAATCACTCAACTAAATTTCAAAATTCAAAATTCAAAATTCAAATTTCAAATTCAAATTTCAAATTTCAAATTTCAAATTTCAAAAATCAAAAACAAAAGAAAGTCAACTAATCAAATATGAAAATTGTCATTTCTTGTCCTCATCAGATAGCCTCCCCCACAGGATAAGTGGTGCTCCAGAACTAATAAACATTACATTCATCATGTCTTTTAGGGCTCTATTTTTCCTTTCAGCTACATCATTAGATTTGGGTGAATATGGAGGGGTAGTTTCATGAATTATTCCACGATTTTCACAATATTAATTAAAATGTTGAAGTTCATATTCACCACCTCTATCTGATCTTAATCTTATGATTTTCTTATGTAGTTGATTTTCAACTTTTGTTTCGTATTTTAGAAACATTTCAGAGCCTCCTTTTGATCTCAGTAGATAGACAGACTACTATATGTCTAGAATAGTCATCTAAAAAGGCTATGTAGAATCTTTTATCACCGCTTGTTAGATTATTTTTCAGATCACCAAGGTCACTATGAATTAATTCAAGCAACTCCGATTCTCTTTGAAGACTTATGCATGATTTCTTAGCTGATTTGGATACTACACATATTTCACATTTATCATGATTAGATGTATTAACATTATGCAGCATTCTTTCCTTTTTGTAATTTGTGAGAAACCAGCATGTCATAATCTATTATGCTAAAGATCATACGAGTCGACCAAGCAGAAGAGGTAGATGCACATTCCCATTCATGATTTCAAGTACATTAAGCATAAACAGACCTGTCCATTTTTAGTCATTACAATTTTATCAGATTCAAAGCAGACCTTAACACCAGCTCTAACAAGAAGAGATACTGAAATAAGGTTCCAACGGATCTCTG